GGAACAAGGGTGTCATAATTCAGCCTATGGTGGGTAAGAATATTTCAGCAAGAACAATACACTCAGTTGAATAAGAAAAAGACTTTGAAAGAAGACAGTTGGGTTTTTTCCCCCCTCCCTTTTCTTTTCAAGTTATTTTGGTCCAAAGATCACATGTTTGACAGACAATATTAAAATCTTCAGTAAACAATGTGGCTAAATTAAAAGCTGCATAAAAACCCCCTCCACATCAGAATTCGAGGATTTTTTTTTTTTTTAAAGCCATATCATAGATCAGCTGAGAAACTATGTTGATCTTAAGGTGATACTTTTTGGTTTTGTAATAATTCTGGATGAAGAGTAGGTTCTGCAGCAAGCTATCGTTCAGCTTTCCCAAACTGCTTCTCAAGCGCATGGAATTTATTCCATAGACCTTGGAATGTTTCAGCTAAATCCTTTTCAGTACTAGTGATAGCTGTGGCTTTCTAAAGGGCAATGCATTCTCACTTCAGTTAGCATTTCCCCAAGAGAATAAAAGGCAAGAATGATCTTTAAAGCAAATGGAAAGACAAAACCCAGGCATTTAGCCTCCCGTTATTTTAAGGTCCAAAGATCTTTCCTTTTATGGGTCACCTCCTTTAAGTGTCCTTTTGTTTATTCAATACAAGCTCCAAAGATGTCAAATGCACTTCAGGCAAGAGAAGAAATAACCATGAGGTCTGAAGAAAGAAGCCTTCAGTGCAGAGACCTTTGAGTACTCATCTGGGAAAGACAAGCTGAACATTAATACAAATTATCATAGAGGGGCTGGCTCAAACATAAGGCTGTGAAAGCTTCTTTTTAATTGCACAAAAAAGAGGATTCATTCACATGGAAGTCTTCATCGACTCTCTTTTTGAAAGAATACTCACGTGTTTCAGCTAGGTCCTAGATGTCACCCATACAGACAAAGCAGAACTGCATATATATAATTATTTCCCTATAAACTCTGCTCATGTAAGCAATTACTCCATAAGTAATTCCTCCTTCTTAAAATTTACCTGAGCTCATGAGCTGAGGTGACTTCCTTAAGAAAGTTCAGCTACTTGTGTTCCAATCATTTATGAACAGATAGATAAATATTTATGACAAATCATGAAACCATACTGGATCCGTACTACTTATCTTGCAAAACTTGTCTCAGCTTCAAACTGCACATGGGAAGATGCGGTGCCAAACCAACATGAAATTGCTCATCCTAGTACACACCTGGAACAACATTGTCCTGTTCTTCTCAGAATCGGAGGGCTGAACATGACTGGGTGCACTTGCATGTCTTCTGCGTGGCTGTATTTTCAGGTTTGTGTCATGAACCCTTCTTTGCATAACTGCAGTGACACTGCTGCACCGGGAGCGAAACTCTTGCTGCTCATCAAAGCCAGAGTCCTCTAAAATACGCTCTGGAAAGGAGCCACGAGTGCTCACCAGGTTGGTCAAGTTGGTCTGGCTGCCAATTGTAAACATCGCAGCACGCCCTGCAGTGTTATTTGGGCTGTCCAGCTCCTCAAATGGGCTATCCGATGGAGAAGCTGGCACATTTCCTTCACACAGGGGTAAGTCCAAACTTGACTCGTTATTCCGCTGCTCATTTAACAGTTTCAGGCGCTGGCGCTCATGAAGGCTGAATTTCTCAATGCAATCATCAATCAGTGTGGAGGGAGCTTTCTTGTGAGCCACTGTCACCTTTCCACAGTACAAGACCTCAAATTTTTGAGAGTCATAGAAGGCATCTTCACTATCCTTACTTGGTTTGGCATCTTCTTTCAGGGCTGCTTTGGAGACTTGTCTTATGCTGCTGATGACATCAGGAACCTACAGAACAGTGTGAAAGGTCTATTTAGTAGCCACAAATGAGATGGCACAGATAGTGATATGTCAAACATTTGTTAACATAAGCATTTACACAAGTTATTGCTTCAGCAGAGTGCCACTAGCTTCTTGGTTGACAATATGAAAATAGTACATTCCAAATTCTGTATAGACAACTTATGCAGTGGAAGCAAAGCAAATAATTTCTAATTTTTTTACTGGAACCTGTTTCAGAACATAAGGTTTTAAATTACCAGAAGGTCTACTGACATATGTTCACTTTTTTTTTTAAACTGAGACTGCCTTCTCTTTTCTGTAGCACTCTTCCCACATCAGCGTCTCTTGCTGATGTATTTTGCATAGGGTCATGACTGTTTCTTTGGTTTTCTTTTGCAGAGCCAGATATTTCATTCTTAGGACAGTTGCGGAAACAGTTTTGTGAAAAAGAGACCAGCAATTCCCATCAGTTTCAACTGGCAGGTTTGGAATACTAGCAGCAAGCATATGGAAATTTTACCATAGTACCATGCACAATTGCATTAGCTCTTGTTCATTATCTACTACAAAAACCTCACTCCATCCATCCTATGACATAGTTTACTTTAAGGTCACACCTCCCTGCTGTCTCAGTCATCATGCAATTAAGAAGCACACCCAACTCTCTCTTCTCCTCCATCATTCTTTCCTACAGATTCCTACTACACCCTGTAAGATCAAACTGCATATCTCCAGTAGAAACTCTCGACTGCAGTCTTTATCACCCAGTCTTCTAAGGCCACTTGGTTCTTCCTCCATTTTATCCCCATCACCTTGGGAGGATGTCTGCCTTCAGTATCAACATACTTCATATGCAAGTTCCTTTTTCATTTTGCCTTCACTAAAGAAAATGAGGACTTGTCCAACTCTACTGACCACAGATCAGAGTGATTCTAGTTGCTCTTTTGACAGTACCTATCTCTGCTTAACCAAATTCCTTTCTCACCAGGTCTTATCTTCTCTGGAAGGATAATGAATGGCATCATGTTACCTGCATTGGGGAAGTTACTAATGACAGTGAGCTCAAGAGAGGTTATCTCCCTGATTTTCTTCGCAAGAGAAATCGGTTCTCCACACTCACCTAATCCAATGCGATCAATCAACAGATTCTGTATTCCATAGTTTCCCACCCTATCTACAATATTTGATAATTTGTTTCAAAGTATTTTTACTATTAAAAAAAGATAACTCTGAAGTCACAGCTTACTAAATAATCCATGCTCCCTACAGTATCTCTTTCTTTCAGTCACATGATACCAGTTGAAACTTGCTAGTGAGGCAGTAATCTCGTATACCAACACTTTTGCAAGTCACAGCAGAAAATTACCTCATCTTAATCCCCATCTCCCATTACACACTCCTCATCCACAGGGCATTCAAATCAAATCTGTTTCCAGTTCATTTATTGCAAAACCAAGTTCAACTACCCTATGATCTACTGACCGTTTGGCTTTCATCCCTATAGATGTCAGCATCATCTCAATTTTCAGTGAGGCTAAAAGTTAGTCTTGATATGACACAGATATTAGAGTGTATTTAATCTTCACTCATTCTCACTACCAGGCTGCTTTACCGTAGCTCAAGGTGCTCTTCCTCCCAGCCATGCCAGCTCAGCTGGACATGGATGATTCTCCCTTTATACATGCTGGTTCATATTCCAAGATGCAGCTCTTTTTCCACTGATAAGTCCTCTTATTCTTTCTATGGTCTGTGGTCAAAGAAGTTCTAGAGTTTAAATCCCTTATCTCTCTATTTTAGCAAAATTCACAAGCTAGCTGTTTTTTAATTAACATTTCCTTTTCTAGAATCCAGAACCTGTTACAGGACAATTCACTTTATTTCTATTGGAAGTACAGTGACAAATGATAATTCTGTTCAAAATGCATAAATTCTACATGCAATCAACTAGAATAAACAATGTCAGGTGTTTAATTGGTAATTTGGATTTTTAAAAAAACTGTACCATTATTTCCACTCCAATAACTGGGTTCTGCCACTTTCTCATCACTTCTAAGATCAAAGACTGGAGAAGAAATTCTTAAGTCTTTAATAATATCCAATAGCCTCCTGACACATCCTATCCGCCCACTCCCCTGCCAGCAAATGTCCAAATAGGTTGGGGATAAGACACTACCAACTCTACCACAATAGGATACCCCATCCATCCCCTCCTCTGTCAGAGATCTCCCCGCAAACATACACACAGAGTTTCAAGTAACTGCAATTCAACATAAAAAAATCACCCTACCATCCTGCTGTTTATCACTTGGTTTTATTTCCATCTTTTCCAGATCATACATGTTCTTCAGACACTAGTATTCAAGTCACAATTACTATTTCACAATCCCTGCTCCCTGTGTAGCTTTTGCTTCTACCTACCACATCAATTGCTACACAGTATTTTCACTTCAGCATAGAGGTAGCATTAGAACAGAGGTTTCAGCTCATATCGACCAACTAAACCTTATTCCCTGCTTTGTTTAGATAAAAAAATAACAGCCTGTAAAAAAGGTTTAGAGTGCACCCTCATCAGTATTCACTTTTCCCCCTATTTTTCTACCTTTCTACAGAATTAAAGTGATAATCAATGTGAAAAATTGAGACCCATTTAATCTCTGTAGTTACGAATACTTTTCTTTATATACAGATGAGGAGGAAAACAATCTAATACAGGGATACCACCATGGATAAGAAATACCTGTCAGACAGTCCAGAACCAGTTCCGGATGCCTGTTGGTTGTTTCATGGATTCTCTAGATAGTATAGTGTGAAAAACAGCTTCAAGTATAGATGCAAGACAGATACTAGCATTGCTAGGCAATTAGTCATACATATAGATTTTATCGGTTTTTAGTGTACAGGAAACTGTATACCAATGACAATGTGCCCAATGATTGACAATGTGCTAGCTAGTACTGTCAGACTTGACCCTTTTCACTTCCAGAGTGATACTACCTTATCAAGAACCAAGTGCCACTGCCATCTGAGACATAGTTGATCAGATTACAATATTTTCATTTAATGTTTTGACTTTGGGCAAAAACTGTAACTGGGATCAAGTTGAGTCTAAACAAGAGTTTGCATCTATATTTTCCTGAAACGCAAGCTACAGGAAAAGTTACACAACTATCAAGCATAGCAACCATCCCAATGTGGCTTTTCACACGTTTCTTTGGCATATATCATTGGGTTTTGACATTTTGCTCCTCTGTATATTAAGAGGTCTCAGTCACAAAAGTTTTGCCATCAAAGTTGTGTAACTTTTTTGGATTTGGATAGCTCATTACCTGTTAATGTTGAAATTGCAGGGCAAAGTTAGACAAGATATTAAGCAGAAAGGAGATTTTAGAATGCTGAATTAACAGGATGAAACTGCTTAACTACTTCTAAAAATCAGTTTAGTAATATTAAGAAGACAGACTCCTGAAATATACAAAACTTATTAACGGGTTTCCAAGTTCTAGTATCTCTCTGCAGCAGTTTCATGAAATTAAGCAGTCAAAGGGAAGAAATGGGATTCTTATTCCTAAAACCCACAGGGCCACTGCAGATCTTCCTGGACACATACTACCAGCTGTTACAGTAGAACAAAACAAAAAGGTTAAATGAGTTATCGCATAGTTTTTCAGCATTCACCTGTACATAAAAAAAAAAAAATAAATCCTTAAAATATTTAAGCAATTAATCTATTTAACCTACTTGGAATTTTTGTCGTCAAACCTTGAAGATAGTTATGACAAAGAGGGAGACTGGAGTAGAGGGGGATAGGTCAAAAAACAAAAATCCTGACAAGCTCCCTGAAGAACTAGATAGATACGGCGTATTATCTAGATAAAGGGACTGAACAACATGCTTACTCAAATATACTGGAACAGCACGCAAAGCTTTCTTTAATACAACAGTGACCTCATGCTGCAACAGTTACAGACACTGGACTCTTTCAGGTGTTAATAAATCGATACCAAACAAAATGGATACAAGAACTTCAGATGAGCTTTCTTCCCCTCCAGGATGTCAAGAGCTGTACATGCCTGTCAGGAGACAACAGTGGCACATGAACTTTAAGACCCTTGAAACAGTGCTCATACTAACCTCTAAATCTCTAAATAGAGTCAAGAGAACTCAGAAGAGCAGAGATTCTTCTTCAGGGCCAGTACCAAAAACCCCACAAATGCAAGAGGCCAAAAAGACAAGGATAGACAGTGGGTACCATCAGTACAAGACTAGACCTGTGATACCAGTTTGTCTCCTCAGTGTAAGGAACAGTTGAAAACTTGGTTGAGGAGAAAAAAAGCCAACCAAAACAAAAACAAAACCAAAAACCACCTACCAAAACCAAACAAACAAGACTGTGAGTTAAGAGGGAAGTAAGAAGAGCTCCATAATGACATTAAAGAGGCAATATTTCACTCCAGGGAAACATGATCGACCTAATAAGTCTAATTAAAGGAAAAAAAAAAACCACACTTGGGAATCCAAATTAAATTTGTTATTATTCATATTTGAGTAGCCTAAGATTGTATGAGTCACTCTTCATCCAATTAGATCTGATTCAATACGTGGCAATTCAATAAGTAAAGTTAGCTGTACTCAGATGGCACCGGTTGAGTTCTGCATCACCTACAACAAGATTCAGCTCTGAATATACAATGCAAGAACTGCAGCGTGATAGGTGTTATATTGTCACAAACTCTGTTTACTACAGACAGTAGAGTTTTGGTAAGCTGAAACTAATGACAGCATCAATTTTAGCCAAATGGTCCCCCAAACTATTCCATTTGCACCTCATACCCCCTTCGTCCCAACTCCCCCATGACCTTGGTTATAGACCTTCTGAGCTACTGCAGTACATCACCCATTTGGCCAGCTAGTGTAGAATAAGGCTGCAGCACTTAGCCCTGGCTAGAAGACAGATATATTAATATCCTTGATCTGCTAATTCCAGCTCTGCCACTCACGGGCTCCATCCAGTTCTGTCCCTTGTGACTAGACCTACAACAGAGTCATTACATACCGGAGAGCAAACACTTCGCTCCTGCATAAGTAGTATACTGTTCAAAGTGCATGTGAATAGTACCGCAAAGAACTATCCTACTATACATCAAGAAACTTCACTGTGTTCAACACAGAAATGTATTTGCATGTTGGAAACATCAGTTTAACCGATGTAACTAAAGCAAGCTCTTTCATCTGACTTGATTAAAACCAAAGTGAGGATTAAAAGCAAAGAGAGGACTACAGGAAAATAATTAACACAAAATTAAAACTTTCTTCGTAGTTCTTCTCATGTCATGCAACTAGGTTTTTGTTAAAATTAATTCCAACTCAAAACCTGCCCTAAAGCCCTAAAAAAGAACTTCAGTTATGAGGTGTTTATGACCAATATCTTCAAGTTGCAAAACAGAGAGGCTATCAAGCCTACTAAATCATGCATGCTGCAGCATAACACAAGAACAGTTTGTCACAACTCTAGAACAGGCAGAGTATTTCCATGGTGATACTGCATGCTTTCTTGAATAGCAGTGACAGAAGTTGAAGCACTTAGGAAAAAAAAAATATATACACACACACACACACACATTTGAATACACTCCTTTGAATTTACAAGAGCCTCCAGTTAACAAAGGTAGAGCTCCCGTTTTTGCTGGAGGGCTAACATTCAAATGCATCCCGCAGTAATTACCGAGCAGTGCTTTAAATTTTAACCCAATCTTAGAACTTGAATGCTATGGATGTTGCAAAGAACAAAATTCACTTGCTGTATAACATTATTTCCACAGCTGGACAGAATTCCACTGTGCCTAGAAATTCTGCAGCTCTTGTTAGTTTGCTTCTAGCTTCCACATGGAAACTTTCAGTCTGGAATTTATTAACAAAGCAAAAGCTCCTCTTCATACCATAAGGCTTATAAACATTAGCATGCCTGCGAAGTACTAATCTAACAACAAACATGCCTAACAAATCTGGTTACTTAATGACAGCAGTTCTAGCAAGGCGATCATGTTCAAAACAAGGAAGAAGCCTGGCCTCTCTCACTCCATCAGTATGTGAAGTGCAGCATCAGATCCCTTCCACCATACAAAGACATAAGATGAATGAACTTCATGCACAGGTTAGAAGCCGTCAATACCTTCTGCTGTGGGCTCCAGTTCAGAAACACAGGCATGTCCAAGCAAAACTGTCATTGAATTTTAGTGTCGTAAACATGAGGACTCAAGAATAGATTCCTGGGATAAGTGAATGCAGAAAGATCCCCCTCTCACAAAGGGCTGTCAGTGCTGTTGCAGCATTTCCTCAGGCTCGGTCCATGGTATCACGGTACAGCCAGAGCTCCACGCAGCGACCGTTATGCTTCAAAAGCCAAGTATTTCCTGACCTCGGGCTGGAAGCACCCGCGCTGCCTTGGATTTCAATAACGAGTCCCACTCATGATCTAGCTATGTATACTTAAAAACGAACAAAAGAGAAACAGGATACTGTCCAGAAATCAAGATCCCATCCTTTGCTAATTACTGAAAGAGTCTGACATCTATCAACTAGAAACCACCGCAATGTGAGAAAAAATTAGGAGCAATCAGACATGAATCTCCTTTCAGTTTGTGTTAAGTTGCATAGCCACAAGATAGGAGAACCCAGCCACAGCAGTGACACGTGAACAGAGACTAAATAAGCCATGTTATCACATCCTGCTATGTATCAGGCATTTGACACTGAGGCAAAGTTCTTATCTTACAGAAAAACACACCCAAATGCCAGCCAAAGTGCAGATATCAATAACTGTTCTCAACCAGAAAGAAGGGTGGGAGAAGGGAAAAAAAAAAATATTGTTTTAACTGCTGTAAATGTTTTTACTGCCATCCAGTTAGTACAGCACTGTTCATCCAGATCTTTTGTACTTCTAAATCTACAGCAGCCTGCTGCTTCACACACTGGTGACAGTGCTCCACTTAACAGCTTTCACCATTAAAAATGCATCTTTCCGATAAAGAGATAAAAGACCAGCTCAGAGTGATTCAATTTATGCAGTCATACAAGCAATTTGTTGACTTTGTTTATGCTAGATATTTAGAAACTAGACCAGAAGAATTTGTCTCCATTGGTTGACTTAGTGCTGAAGGAATACCATCTCCAGTTTTACAGAAGTGAGAAGGATTTGTAGCCAAGAGAAATGCTATCACAAAGGGAAAAGAATAACAGCTGGATTGCTAAGTATTTCTATAACCCACCAGCACTTAGTGTACTTTAAAAATACAGTTTAGAAAACACGAAGTCAGGTTCTCAGCAGGCAGTAATAAGTATCTGCCATCAACTCCAATTCATTCTGTTGCAATTCTGGGCCAACACAACACAAGCCCAGGAGCAGGAAAGCTGGAACACAGGGGCTGGCAAAGAAAGACCCAGTTGAAGCAGCTTTTGGAGCTTCAAGCTGACTGTCACCCCTGGCAGCTACTGCTTTCACATTTCTGCTGTTCTCTATGGGTTTGTTAAGTGTAGCCAAAGCTTACAGCAACAGAAAACCCATGAAGAACACGCCAAAAACCCATTAAAGAACTGCATATAAGTGAAAGTTTTGCTTTCAGGAGACAGAGTCTTCCTCCCATTTGCCTGGTCTATATTTTTTTTCCAGGTGACTGGTCAGGACCCAGCTAGGTTTGTTTCTAAAGAACTACTACAGAACAATGCACTTACTTTACTTTGACATCCAGCCTCATGCCATATATTGGGGAGATCACATACTCCTGTCAAAGGCAAAGCTGAAGACTGCCACCAAACCAGCCTAAATAGAGAGGGATTTTTAGATAGGTAAGCTAAAATAAAATAAAATAAAATTCAGTTCTCAAAATAATTCTTACTTGCAATCAACCCAGGAATTACTTGTGCTGTTTAGTTTTGATACAGTCATTGAGCAGAAAAAGTCTACCACAGTTGCACAGCTTATGCCTAGAGAACCCACCACACTACCTAATTTGCTACTGGAAACTTGTGGATCACCTAACACATTCTGTATGCTACACATGCACACAACATGCTGCTTTGCCAAGTACCCAAATTTAAATAAACACTATAATGATAGAAAGTGGATCAAGTTACTTAACAGGAAAGAATGTGTAAGAGTTACAAGATTGTTTGGATGCCTGAGTAGACAACAGATGCCTTTTTTTTATACTTACATACAAGCACTCTACAGTGGTATATCAAAGAACTTCAATGATGGCAGTGACAGCATAGCCAAACATGAACATTGCTTTAAGTAAGGAAGGTTCCTGCATTCAGTATTCTGCTCCTATGTTTAGGCCAATAAGACTGATGTTTTTCCAGCTTTTGGATACAGCTCACTCTCACTCTGCTTGAATACTTTGCAACCGGTAGAAGTGTCAGTACAGAGCTCTCGTGACAATCCTTATGTTCTTTGAATACAGAATAGTAACTCTCTGAATATAGAATAGTAACTCTCATATCACCTACAAGTTATATACTTTGAGTATATGCAAGTACTCTCAAGTTTGTTTCCAAGTTTGGAACACAGTTCCCAGTGAAGATTTAGCAAAGTACAGCTCGCTTGTAACATCAGTTCAATTTAAACTTTCCAACTGCTTTAATCCAAGTTTTTCCAAACTATGAAAGCACGAATTCAGATATGAACTAGGAATTTTCTCCTAAAAACTCTGCAATTTAACTTAATTTGGCACATCATTTTCCAGTAAGAGGTTTATTAAAGATGTTTTTAAGAACTCCACCATATTCAACACATAGCCTATTTTTAAAAGGGTTTGCCTGAGAAGATAAGGCTGTCACGTGGACAGCCCCAAACAATAAATACATTCTCTGCATTCATTTCCTTTTGGGAAAAAAAAAAGCTACAGTTGGAGAGCTCATTGAAGTATTTTGCCCATTTATGGTCACTATCCACTTCTCACATACAGATCAGAAGATAGTGAACTTCATTTTAGTAGATTTAAAGTGCAAGTGGTAAGACTGAAATAACTGCTCTATGCACCATGTCTAAGAAAGAAGCAGAGTTGTTTTTTGTTTAGTAGTTTTAGATAGAAGCTCTCAGGATTTTAATTTTAAAAGATTAACATGTTGATACACTATGAAACGAACACACCTTGGAAAGTCTGTTTTTCCCTAGTCAAGAGATCAAGGTTTCAGGACTCCTGCATGGCACACCCTGATGACTCCTAAAGTCAGTATGAGCCCAGATTTGGTTGAAGACCACCTGCATCTGATTTCCATGGATGCCATCTCCTTTACAGCCTATTTGCTACAATAGCCACCTCCTTCTTCTATCGCTGAAGGAGAAGATGGTAAGGTAGTAATTCAGTGCTCACTCCAGGAGATGGGAAAAATTACAGACTTTATGCAGTCTAAGAGACCTAGCAGGTGTCTATATATTGGCCCAGAAAAAGACAGGCACTGCAATAACTTCTAGCCCCCTCAATGAGGCCAGAAGTTCCTCAATGACATGAAGTCAAGAATTTAGGTCTTTTTCTATTTGGTGTTTTCCCAGAAACTCTCGACTGCAGTATTGAGAAGTTTCAGACTACAAACTTTTCTTAAAAGAAGGTTCTGCTTACAGAAAGACAGACACCAAAACCAATGTCAAGCAGCAGGTGAAACTGCGGCAGAGACACAAAAGAAGTTACTACTGGGTTCAAGATTAATTTTCTGAAAAGGACATTCACTAAGAAACTGTGAAAGACAAATACACATGATTTATCAAACAGTGTGCATGGAGGAGGAACAAAACCCATGGATTGCAACCTAATAGCCTTTCAGTAGCTTCTCCACCCCTGCCAAGTAACGTTCATTAATTTTCTAGTACTTTGGAAATGTGCACCTGTACAAGTTCCAGCTTGTCTGATAATCTCACAGTTCCCAGGAGCAACTGCGTTATCTTGTGACAGTATCAAATGCCTAAGCAACCAATAGTACAATTAACTTTTCCCAGATAACAACCAGCAAACAACTCTAGCATAAACACAGCAAAAGAGGATTTCAAAGCCATATTGATTCAGGTGCTGAATTCCCAACTGCTTCGAAACCAGATGCTGGGCCGAGCAGGGAGCTTCCACCTAACCAGACTTCCTCCAGTACTGAAGTCTCAAACCACCACTTCGCCTCGGAGACAGAGGAACAATGAATACCATGCCTGAAGGCAGAGCTAGCATACCACAAAACACCAAGCGCCACTCTCACTGGGAATCACTATAGTCTAATCTTGTCAATCACTAACTATTAAAAATGCTAAGATTTCATCAGTTGCTTATGTTAGCTGTGAAAAGAATTAAATACAATTAGATAGTTATGGTGTTCAAAAGTAAATCCATACAGACACAGCTGCATGAGTACTTCAGATTTAAGAGCTGAAAGTAAATAAGTGTGTGGTTGTTTCACTTTTTCACGCCAAGGAACTCCAGAAGAGCTACAGAGTTACTGTGAATAGTAATAAAAAACCCCCAACCCACAAGGCCCAGGGGCAACAGAAAAGGAAACGGTTACCCAGAAAGCTTTGAGACAAATGAGTCAATAAAGTAAAGCGGCAGTAAGGTCCTTTCAGAGGAACAGCTTCACAACGCAAGGCTCTTGCACCAATGGTGATATACAGGCTGAATAATCTAAGGGTTCAAAAAAGACCCAAGAGACCATTTGCATATACTCCCAAAAAGCTTGTGAGAGTGTTTTGTTTTGGTTATGAATCTGGGTTCTATAAAACTGCAGGCAAAAAGGAAGCATAAAGTTACTCGGTTACTGCGTAAGGAAGAAAATGCAATAGGTGATGAATACAGAGAATCAAGATGGATGGGAAGGACTTGTTTCTGAGGCTATATAGGGAGTTTCTGTTCATTTTTTAGGCAACGTTTTTATACACCTCAGGTAAAGTAACTTCTGCAGTGTTTCACTAATTGCTGGTGGTAGATACTACTTGTTTCAGTACTGCTAACCTTTAGTTTCTCAATTTAGTATGCCTGGTACATGACAGATATTTCTGAGCCAACAGTTGCACAGCACTACCTGATAGCATAAACAATAATATTTAGGGAACCAGCTTTTGGAATTGGCTTGAGTCTACACAGGTAAGCAGAATAGGTAGGTTGCATTAACTAACTAGAGCTAACATTGCTAACAACATTCATAGGAAGAATGGCATAGACTTTATCAAGT